TTTGAGCAGAGCACAGAGGAGCTGCTCATCCCTCACCCGGCCCTTGGCCCCAGGACTGGCCCCTGGGGAGGAGAGCAGGACCCCCGCCCTGAACACCGGGGAGGGCCAAGGGGGGGCTCGGGGCTCTGGGGTTGTGTGTCCCCACGGGTCGTGGACAGCCCCAGCCTGAGCCCTGACCCATGGGGGGCCCACAGCCCCCCCGGGATGGGCTGATCCCTGGCCAGCCCTGATGATGTGGGGTGCTGTGGGCAGCTGGAGGTGACCCAGCTGTCCCACGTGGGGATGGGGGACTCACTCCCTCCCACCATGGGTGGTGGTGACACCCATGAAGCCACCAGACCCTGGTCCCCAGGGTGGCCGTGGGCAGGGCTGCTGCAGGGGCTGGGATGGAGAGTCTTGATGGGACCTGGTGGCACCCGATGGCACCTGGTGGCACCCGGTGGGCCCTGGTGGGCCCTGGCTGCCCTGCTGCCGAGGCCGGCTGGCCAGGCACAATACCATGGCCCCTCTCCTGAGCCGCCGCCGAAGCCCCTTTCCCAGCGCTGAGCGCCTTTGTCTCGCCTTTGTGATGGAAAGAGCCCCCCCTCCTAAATCACGGCCCTGACACCCCCATTGTCTCCTTCCCGGGGAGGTTTGAAACTTCCCCCCCCTCCTCCCGAGGTCAGGAATGTGGCCGGTTTCTATTGGGACGGAGGAGCAGGGCTGGGTGGGGGGCTGCGGGGTCACGCCGGCTCGGCGGGTCAACCCGAAAACAAAACCTTTTGAAATACCTACTCTCCATCACTGCCAACATTGTCCCCTGCCAGCGGGGGCCTGGCACGGCCCCTCGACGCCTCCAGCCCGGCCGCTGCCCACCCCAGCGGTCAGTATCTCGGGGGGGGACACAGAAGGGTATTGTGCTGAAGGGGACAGCTTTGTTTTCGGTCACAGCTGCCCCGAGCTGGGACAGGGACCGACCTGCAGCCCCACTGCGGGGGGGAGAAGGGAGGGGATGGGAGTGCAGAGGTCAGCGCATCACGAGGGGGACCCATCCCATCGGGGTACCCCTCTGTTGCTGTCCCTCTGAGAAGGCGCAGTGCGGGGGATGGAGAGCATCTCCCCATGGTCCCTGGGGTGAAGCCCCAGCAGGGAGCCTTTCCCTGCCCGGAGGGTTTGGGACAGCCTGGGCTTGGCCTCCTGCCTCAGTTTCCCCTTGCTGAGGGAGGTGTCCCTCTGCCACCTCCCAGAGCTGACGGGTGCCTGAGCTCCCCTTTGACACCCAGAGCCAGGGGACGCTGGCTCTGGGCTCTGCTGGCTATGATACCGACAGATGTGGCATAGTCTGGGGAAAAAAGGGACCATTCTGGAGCCCAGCTGGCCGCGCCACCCAGGAGGGTCAGATTTTGGCTGCTATGTGGCTCGAACGTGGCTCCAAGCGCGGCGCTGAACTGCAGGTGGAGCAGAGCATCCCACACGACCCCAGCTCTCCGCTCCCAGCGGGGCACCAGGAGGGGACCCCACGGAGGCTTCTCCCTCCCTGATGATCGTAGCCCACCAGGAGTACCCCAGGCTGTCTCCCGAGGGGCCGAGGTGCGGGGCAGACGCAGCGCAGCGGGCACTGGAGCTGGTGACGTGTCTCTGCCCCATTTGTGGTGGCACAGATCTCCCTGTGTCCACCAGCTGGGATGGGGATGCTGCTCCTGCCGGCCTCCAGCTCCTCCAGCAGAGCATCTCTTGGGTGGGCCAAAATCCCCCCCGGGTGGCCAAAATCCGACCAGGATAGCCAAAATCCCCCTGGATTTTTCTGGGTGGGAAGACCCATAGTTTTCGCCTGCCACGGAAGCAGCCTGCCGAGGAGGGAAGCAGGACGGCGCCTGCGGATGCGATGGGTTTAGCAGAGACCTGGAAGGAAAACCCAGCTGGGAGGGGAGTGCCGGCCTCCTGAGCTACCCAACAGCTGGCGGGCGGTGAAAACAGCTGGAACAGCTCAGGATGTGGGACTTGCAGGGCAGGGACCATGGCGGGGTCACTGGCACTCCCTCGGGTCTGGGGTCCCCACTGGCTGTGTGGGCTCCGTGCCTCAGTTTCCCCACGTGTTTGTGAGGTTGGATGTGTTGGGGCAGGGGTCTGGAGGGGACAGAGTCACTCGGGCAGCATCACGTTGTGGGAGCAGGGACCCTTGGGCATAACCAGGGGCTCTACAGACCTGGGCAGCCAGCTGGGCCCCTGGGAGGGGAATATTTTCCCTTGTGAAATAAATTTTTAAAAAAGAGTTGGTGGCTGGGGGACTCATAAAATCCCCCAGCCACGCACATACACACAGAATCTCTGCATTTATATATACATATTTATATTTATATATTTGTTTTCTGCAACCAAACCTGAGCCTTTTAAAGCAGAAAAAATGTGACGTTTGAGGAACCTGGAGCTTTTCAAATGCTTTGTTGAAAACCCTAGAAAATTTAAAGGAAAGGGTGGAGAGAGGTGGGAAGTGGCCAGAAACCTCAGCCCTGGGTCCAAAAGCAGCTTTTTCCTGTAAAAAAAAGAAAATGTTCTGCTGGAAACATCCCACAGAGCTGTTGCCTGCCCAGCTCCGTGGGGATGGGAGGGCGCTTTTCCAGGCCGGATGCTTTCAGGCCTGACGTTGGCTCTGTGTTACAGGTATCGCTACAGGTGTGTGGAGCTGTGGGGATGCCCTGAGCCCCGTGGAGACACCCTGAGCCCCGTGGGGACACCCTGAGCCCTGTGGAGACACCCTGAGCCCCGTGGGGACACCCTGAGTCCCATGGGGACCTGCCACCCACCTTCC